TTTTTTTCAACACACAACAGAAGTGATGTTGATCAAATCTGGATGAATAAAAACATCAAGGCATGGACCCCCACTCTTCGCAGGGAATAGGAACCGGGCTGGCCCTCGTATAGGGAAAATCAGATTATCAATGTCATTTGTGACCATTGAAATGCAATGTGGGGGTGGTGGGATAGGGATTAAACGTATAAATGCTGATAAATTTCCAATACGAAAAATAGACGTTCCCTTCACAAGAAGGCCCAATCCCTCTCACAAATCCCACCCCAGATTTTCTGAGAATATTGAACAAATGCAGAAATAAATGAATCCGCAGGTGCCGAAATGCGAGTATGCGGGGTTCCGCTGTATATAAAATAAGGACCTCCTCTAGTTTCTTGGAGGCTGTGGCCATGTCTGGTATCAACCAAAACGAGAGCCTGCTGTGTGGCTCACCGCCCCAGGCTGTCACTGTGTTTGTTAGCAGTTAATTTTGATGATTTGTTTAAACCTTGGACTGCATTCAGAAATGATTGGGGCGGGAGCGCACACTGCCTCTCTGAACAAGCGCACTTTATTTTCTTCATACACACAATCAGACAATGATGGTGTTTGCTGCAATGGAAGTAAAGTTAAGGCTCATTCAGATCTATGCGCAACAAATTGGGATCTGTATCATTGGCAGTTCTAACTGGTGAAATAAATTGTCTAATGGTGCTGACAAATCAGATTTTAAATTAAAGACATGATGAGATGTCACGGGGGCTGTGGGGGAGCAGCTCTTGGGCTTAAGCTTTGGAACACACAGTGTTACAGTTTAAGTCCCATTGCATACAAAAAATGAAAATTGAACAAGACACCAATCCCAGCCATAGCTCAAGAGGGGCTGAACCGTTTGGGCATCCCTGCACTGACATTTTCTCTAGCTTGCTTACTTGTGATCTGGTTCTCTTTGTGGTGTGCAACAAAAATGTACAGAACTGTTTACATATCAGTATAATATTCAGAAATATTTATAAAACAACAGGATATAAGTCAATTATTCATGACCCTGCAATATCTTCCAAAGGCAACAAAATTAATGATAACATGCCCGTGTTGTCCACATCCTGAACAATTAGGAGGACGTGAACAGCCATCAGCCAATGGAGACCCAAATACTACTGAACTAATGTGGGTGGAAAATGATTATGAGTGAAAGAGATAGAAAAGCAGGAGGAAGAGGCAAATGACAAAGAGTGCTGGTGACAGGCAGAGACTTAGCTACAGAGACAGAGGAGACTCCCACCTACAATAGAAAGCATAAGGGACCCCAGAACATCTCGTAGGGAAGCCCCAGAAATGGGCGGGATCGGTGGCATGACAGCCTGCAACCAAGGTAACCCATACTGGCTATTATAAAGTAACCACAGAAAAATACTCTTTTATAGCACGTGGAAAAAGAGTTTTTGTACGCCTTTAACTTTTTGCACATTTTGAAACATTTTGACATTTTATGTGCAAAGCAAACAGAGTATCAAATTAATGTCAAGTGGAATGAAAATGATAGAGGGTTTTCAAAATTTTAAGTAAATATGTCTGAAAAGTGAGGCGGGCATTTGTATTCAGCCCCCTGTACAGCTACAGAAACCACATTTATACTCTCAGTATAAATATGCCTGTTCTGTGAAGGCCTCGGTACTAGTATAATGAAGACCAAGGAGCTAACGATAAAAGGTCAGGGATAAAGTTGTGGACACTTTAAGAGAAAACACATATCCCAAGTTCAAAAAACAACTCCATTCAATCACCCAACAATGGAGAAAGTAGGCAAATCTAGCCGGACATGCCCATCCATTTAAACTGGAAGAGTGAGTGAGGAGAGCTCTGGTCAGAAAAGCAGCCAAGAGGCCCGTGGTCCCGCTACCCTTTGGAGGAACTGCAGAAATCCACTGTTCAGGTGGGAAAATCTGTCCACAGGACGACTCGAAATTGTGCACTTGACAAATCTGGCCTTTATGAAAGAATGGCAAGAAGTCGCCCTTGTTAAAAAAAAAAAAGGCCTAAGTTTTATTTTGTTATGTAGGGAAAGAAAGTAGTTGGGGCAGGCTGATGAAAGCCAGTATTCAACCAAGGCCCCTCCGACCATCGCGAAACATTCACACGCGTGTTCATGTTAGGCTTCATTCAAGGTCTCAAATATTCATAAAAATGTTCACCAAATGTTAGCCAGACAGTGACCAACAGTTTTATTCTTTTTTCTTATCGCAAGCAAATTTAGAACATGTTCAAAATACCCTTGTACATGCAAACGTCTGACGAATGTCTGCCGACCGTTTGCCGCATGTAAAGGTGCTATCGGCAGCTGCAGTTCAAGTATTGATGCAGGGGATCTGAATACAAATGCACACCATGTTTTTATTTGCTTAAAATTTTCAAAACTTTCATTCCCGTTTCACTTGACAATCATATGACAGTTTGTATGGGTCAATCACATAAAGTCTTTGGCTGTAAGGTGCCAAAGCAGGGAAAGCTCAAGCGGTATGAATACTTTTTCAAGGTACTGTACACACTCCCCACACACAGTTTCCCAACATCATCCATCTTTGCTGTGAACTTGGATAACCCAAAAAAACAAACAAACCAAAAAAAAAATAAAAAAAACCATCCATTTACCCTACACCCACAAGTTAAGAGATTCACGGTCAGGGCTCCAGACTAACTTTTTCATGGGAGCATCTTCGCCCCTAACTTCAAATTGTAGGGACACAAGCAGGACATTTAGGGGCGTACACTGTAAATCAATTAGCAAAGTAAAAAAAAAAAAAAAAAAAAAAAAAGATATTTTATCTTTTTACCGGTAGTCTCTGTTCAAATGGACCCTCAGTTCTGCACCCACAGATTTGCATATTTGGGAATTTTTTTCTCATCTTTTTAAAATTGTTTTAATTTTTTTTTTTTGGGGGGGGGGGGGTTTTTTTTTTTTTGGGATGTATGGTAATCGGAACAGCTGTGTACTTGTGAATTTGGCCCTCCAGCCTTGACATACTTGCTTAAATAATCCCAGTTATATCATTTGACTGGATATCAATTTCTAAACGTGCGTCCTCTCATGTACTGTTGTATTATCTATTTTGATTGCAACACAAAATACATCTTGGAATATTTTCCCCGACACCAACTGATGCATCTTTAAATGGGAAGACAACCCAAAAATATTTTTGAGAATATGTTGTATGCAGCCCCAGTAAATCTGTTTGTGGAATATGAGTTAAGCAGTAAAATCCACGCGTTTTTCTACATTTAAGGGGGCCGCCCTTTTGCCAATTGCTGTGGACCTAAAATGAACTCCCAGTTGCTCAGGGCTCAGGTAACAACCAATCATGGCTCTGCTTCAGAAAACAGGTGAAGCCATGATTAGTAGTTACTTGAGCCCGATTGTAAAGACATTTTTGGGGTTGACTTCCCCTTTAAGCAGACTAGAAAACATCCCAAGATTCGATGCGTTCTTTGTTTATGCGTACCTTCAGTTGGAACAGGCCTTTTTAAGTGGGGTGGCCTGAGTGAAAGGTGGCCACGGGTGGCTGTGCGTGCATGTGACTCATTCTGTATCATACCATCCACAGTCAGTGTTTCATGAAAAAAATACACGTATTTCCAGAACAGCCATCACACTTAGAATCAAGTAGGAAGTAAAAATCATGATTTTGCTGAGCTTAATTTACTCACTAATGCAGTTTTCTTTGCAGGTGCTTTGCTTTCGTGTACTCTCCCATTGGCTACTTATACTGTATCTCATGCACTGTTTTGCTAGTTAACAGCTAATCAGTGATATCAATTGCCACTAACTGCTCTTAATTCTTCACAGTTCTACGTTTTTTGTTTTTTTTTTACTTTTACTACGGTTGTTGCTGCTTATATTATGAGTGTCTGTGCATGATGGCAATGTGTGCATTTTATTTCATGAAACCGTAACTGTGGATGGCATGATGAACAAAAACTTCTCGGCCTATTGTTTGCTTGTTATGCTTTATTACCGGGCTCCACGTTCTTCAAGTAAACATATGATCGAGTCGTCTCTTTCTTGGCATGACTTTTCACTTTCATGCCGCCCACAGAATATACTGATGCGTGTTTAATTTAAATGCTCAAATAATTTGGTCATGCTACTTGCTTTGGTTTGAACAGCTTCTAAACATACTTTGCACGGGACTGTTTGCTGCTCACTGTCCGACATTGCAAACCCGAACTGATTCCAAATGACTGACAAAATGGTGCCTTCTTCAGTAAGCTTGCTGCGGTGTTTCCCGCCATGTCGCCAGCATGTCTGTATGTCTCGTCAGCAACCAAAAATATTTAATACTCATTTTTTTTAAAATGGCAAATTTACAGGTCAATCACGGGGAAGTGAATGAAAGGTTTTTGTCACAGTGTCTTGAATTTTCAAAATGGGGCTTAGTCTGGAGCCCTAGCTTGGATTATTGATACTCCCACAAAATTGTAATTTCATTGTTCACTGTATCTAGAGTGCAATAGAAATCATGCAACTTAAAAAAATAATCTGAGCCACTGAAAAAGGATAAATTCATCCCTCCCATTACACCAATGTACAATTTCCATTTACTGGATACCAGTGAACAAGCGCTTAAGTCTTTAAACTTGAGAGTATTTCAGTATTTGAGAAAAAAGGCTTTTACCATGGTCAAAGCATCGATGAGGGTTATCTCCATCGCTAACACATCCTACAAAGATTTATCTTTGAAAGTATCAGTATGTCTTTGTCAACAGCATTTACAAATAATTACCGGTACTCAGTGTGAAGTGTGTGGTCAGACGAAGTAATTTCATGTGGATTAAAAATTGTCAGTGTAACTGTCATTAGGAAGAATGTTTTAATAGTTCCGCATGTGGCATCATTATCATGCGAGGGCTCTCACTTCCATTCCAGGCCAACCACGAATGACATGAACAATCCAAGTTCTCCTTTTTGCAGATACATATATTACTCAGAGTTGGGCAAAAATACATCCTTCTACAGAACAAACACTAACAACAGTGAGTGTGCTGTGCGCTACATCTATTTTATACCGTGTGGGCTTGGCTCAACGCTACTAACTTATTCTTTGTTATTCTAGATTTAATTATGTCATAAAATCATTGTATTACCTACCGATGTTTTGATGGAGCTCACAGATTTGAGGTTCTGTAGCAATTGTTGACTCTGTCGATGACACACAAAAATGATAAGACTGATCAACAAAGTAACAGGAAAAGACTGAAACAAAAAAAAAATCGACAGTGGAGCTACTGACAGCATATTGATTGTTAATAAAACGTTCCGATATATATTAGTCTTGAAATGAGTGGTGCGCCGATCGGTCAGCCGCCGATTATGCTCAGCCGATTTCCGCAGAAAAGTAAGTGACTGGCACGTGTTGGTCAAAGCCTTTCATTTCCAATCACAAAAAACAAATCACCCCTCGGTCTTGCTCTGTAGCCTACTACTACCGAGAGACCAACCTGTGTGTAGCATTGCACAGGTGTGGAGCAACCTAAACAAACAATAACCTTTTCCCCTATTATCTGAGATGTTACAGATTAAACCAGTAACTGAATTGTAATACATGTTTGTGCATTGTCTGCACTGTCAATTTATAATCATGTCATGTTTTTGTACAACACATTTGCTAAATTTGATTTATCTAATTGATTATTACAAATAATTGTTAGTCAACGTGTGGTCAATATTGGCCAATCTCATTCATGGACGAAACCCCGATCGGAACACCCTTACTTTAAATGTGGCAGAATAAAACATGAACTACTTCAAATAGCTTGATCTGATATGCTAGACCAGGAGTGTCCAAACATTTTCTTTTCTTTTTTTTGTCATTGGAGGACTGTAAATAGAAATTGTGTTCCTAATTTAGTCATTTGTGATTGATGCAAAACAAGAAATTGCAAACGTCATGGTTCCACGTAAGGGAAAATAAAAATATAAAAACAGCGGGATGCAGTTGGCCCACAGGCCATAATTTGGACACCACTGTGCTAGCTCTACAGTAATATATTTTTTTCTTCTCACCAGCATGGTAGCGTGTCTTATTTTTTGGATGATCCCACTGTGACCAAGGTACTGCAGAGACAACCAAAGAGGCAATGCTCGCAGCTTCTCGACAGGCTGACTCGAGGTCAAACCTGCAGCCAGAGACTTAAATCAAAACAGAAAGAGTCAGAAGTGAGTAATTTACAAATAGACACATATTATACCTATGGATATAACGGTAACTCATCTTGATTAGATATATCTTCATATAGATCAGTGCTTCTCAAATAGTGGGGCGCGACTCCCCCAAGGGGGCGCAAGGCGCCGTCAAGGGGAGCGCGTTTGACCTCGGGGAACATGCCTTTTTATTTTATTTATTTATTTTTTTACTGTCCTACAATAAAGTGCAATTGCGCCACCACTACATTAGGGGGCAGTGACGTTCTCATTGGCAGAGTGTGCACAATGCTCGGTGTTTTGTTTGCACTGAGCATGCGCGCTTTGCACACAGCACAGAGTATGAGAATAAAGTGCAGACACAAAGTCGACAGGCGGAGAAAAGAGAAGGTCTCCCGAAAGCTAAGACGAGAAAATATGACGAAGCGTATGTCGCGCTTGGCTTCACTGTGACTACGGTGGTAGACGAGGAAAGACCGGTGTACCTACTGTGTCTAAAAATGTTGGCAGCGGACAGCATGAAGCCAAATAAATAAAGGTGTCACTTAAAGACATTACACCCCAATCACGCTGAGGAGCCGCTTGAGTTTTTTTCAGTGAAAATGTGCCGAATATTGCCAACAATCATCCCACTTTTTGACTGCTACTTGTAGCCATTAATCCAGACATCATCTTTGATTAAATAAAAATCAGCACAAATTATTTTATATATTTTTGTTTTGCAGGTTTTCATATTGTGCTCCTGAATTAATGTTGGTGATCAGTTTGAATGCATTTTTATTGATTTTACGTAATTTTATTTTTCAGTATTGTATGGTTTGACATGGTCAGTCAAAAAATGTTTTTAGTTTAATGAAGGATTTAATTTTATTTTTGAATTTCAGATGCACTTAAAATCTTTTCTGTTAGTTACTAAAGCTATTCTTTGTTGTAAGTTGGTCCATATTTCTTTCTTTTTTATTCTCTTATACGTTAAGGATACTGTGTTATGCAAATGTGTACTTATAACAATTTTCTAGACCAATGACACTATTTATAGTCGCGCGGGGAGGGGCGGGGGTGAGATGTTTTCTTCTTTGGGGGGCATGACAGAAAATAATTGAGAAGCACTGATATAGATCAAATGCTGGAAAAGTTGGTTGAGCAGTGCAGTATTAGCAGCCTACCAGTGCTGGATCTTCGTGTCTGTAGAGAGTAACAGCAGTCACAGCAGGCAGTCCTAGCCACGGGCCTGGCGTGAGCGTCATACTGTCACTTCTTGTTGCTGCCTTTTAGGGAAATAGATGAGCACAAAATAACTCTTGAGTACATGTCCATGTAAAATAATTGAACAGTTCTGGTTGCATTAATTAGTGGAGTGTAAATTCATGAGATAAACAGGTCAGATTACCATAACAGCAGAGCTGGCCTCACCCAGCACCAGTGTCGCCAGGTTGATACTGAAAACAAAGCAAGTATGACTTCACAAATCTTAACATGCTACAAAATAATCTCTCAATATGAACAAGCAGTAGGAATAACAGAACAGAAAAGTATTCTTGACACAAGTTATAATTATCACAATCATCACTTCCATCGGAGATGTGCATTTAAATTTGTTTAAGTTAGATATTACATCTTATTAAATGTCTCACCCCTCCACATGGAGCCACATTTTGTACTGATCACACAAGTCCCTAAGGCGCCCCAACTTATCAGTGTGACCCGCCAAATGGGTACCTGGAAAAATATTTACAACCAAGAAATGTCATGTGTTACTATTACAAGAACATTTTTTTCAATCACTATAAGTATTGAATTTTCACGACCACAAGACGTCTAATAATGCAGGTCGCCTTGTACATGCACCGAGTTCCAAAATCTGTGAATGCTGTTGTATGACTTCGATGACGGGCTCGCTTGCCAGATTTTGTGCTGACACATTGCTTATATAGAGGAAAGGTGGGCATAACTGAGGACAGCATGCGGACGCTAAAGTGGGAAGGCTGGGCGTGAAAGAGGACGCTAAAGGCACGACTCCGGTAGGTGCCGGTACGTGCATTGTGCAAAACAACATCCCGAAAATGGCACCAACGAAGAGACACACTTACGAAGCACAGTTTAAACTCCAAGCAATCAGTTATGAGGACCATGGGAATCAAGCAGCCGTGAGAGAATTCAAGATCAACTAATTCATGGTGCTTGGTGTTTTTCTTTTATGAAATGCGCCATCTATCCACCCGGGCAAGAAGACCGTGGTGCAGCAACATCGAGCGGATTAGGAAAAGATGGCCAAATTCCACTCCTACTGCAGTAAAAAGTGTAATGTTCTGTGTTGCATTAAATAAAGATTTTAATCCTTTACTCTGTCGCTCTGCCGGCCTCACTTAGCTTCCACATCCAGCCCAACCACATCACCAACATGGACGAGCTGTCACTCACTTTCGACATCCCGGTGAACTACACTGTAGAGAAGACGGGGACTAGCACGGTTGCGATAAGTAAAATGGGTGCGTTAAGTCGGCTTTTACCGTTGTATTTGGTTGCCATGGTAATGGACAGAAACGGCCAAAGTGAAGTTAGGAGCGGCATAGGCGCAATGGCGATCACAGCTTTACTAAGACTGGGAGGCAGCGCCGGGCGAGTTATGTCACAATTTGTGGATGCTTGGGTCTACGTGTCTGCGTGCACCATTGTTCGAGCTTACGCAAAAGCTAGCATCATTTCTGAGGAGCCGCACGGCAACGAGACCGACTCTGACAATGGCGCGGGGGAACCTGGTGTCTTTGATTGTGAACTTGCGCAGCTGTTTATTTTGGCTAGAGAAGATTAGGAGTTTGATGTATTTGCTAATGAGGATTAATCAAAAACCTTATGTGAGTACATTGTTAAATACTTCAGAACAGTGCAACCAAACTCACTTTTGGTCCTGCTGCGTTTTTAAACACATACGCTAGCGCGCATTCATGTGACCGTATTGTTTAAGCTAGCATACGTTTTAACATGCCTGTGTCTTGTGTATCTGTTAAATACAGAAATAGCACCCGTAACTGACACGCCTTTTAATACGGTGCGCCGAACGGTCATGAAAATACGGTAGTTTCGCAGACTGTGAGAATTTTTTTTTCCTTTACCTGCATTGGCTATTAACAACAAAGGAAACTTCCCACTTTCCACGTCCTCTTTGATTAGCTTGTCCAATAGTGCAATATCCTAGGTGTAAAAAAAGAAGACACAGTATGTATATATTTGCAAAACAGCTTCCATGTATCTAAAATTATGTGTAATCTCTTACCATTTGATGTTGTGATCCAAAGAGGGTGTTACATGGGACTGTGCACAAACTGGAGAGAGGTAGGCCAAGCTAATGACACAGAAACTGACATTAAAATAAGCCATGAGTGCAAACTATTGCAATGTTTCTACGTTTTTCTACGATGCATGTGAACAAGGTCACAACATCAAAACAAAATTCTGTCAACTCGGTTACCTACTTGGTTGCACAGATGCTGTCCCAACCCAGGTCTGCTTGATGCGCTTTGGTAGATGACTGGCTGCTTTGAGCTGAGGACAGCATAGCCCTCAGAGGCATAATCATCATAGCAAGCATTGATGACCAGTCGACATACATTGACCAGGCCTTCTCTGTCATCTTCATGGAAGTAAGCTGAACCATTCTCATATCTAAATGTCAGAGTAGACAGGTGTGTATGAAAGAGATACTGAGGAGAGAAATTGTTGTACAATACATCATTATTTATGTAGCACTATCACAACAGCTGCAGCTGTAACAAAGCAGAACATTTAACATAAAATGTAGAACAAATAGTTGCAATGTCTGGAGCCTCGAACTCTAACTCCCATGTTACAAAGACAATCAAGAGTTGAATGTTGAGAGGACTACCTGAACAGTCTACAGAGCCACAGTGTGGTATCAGACAGGATCCGAGTGGTCAGCTTCCTCAGCCTCTCTCTGTCCAGCACTGAGACGTAGGCTGCCAGACTGTGGCCTAGCAGTGCCATGTGACCCTGCTCACCCACATTCTGCATCCTACTGGTCACACAAAATAGAAGGTTTAGTTATCCATTTAGTGGCCGATCTCCTTGTCTCCATTATTTACCATTTGTCAAATGGAATACAATTACCGTACGTCCTTTTTGTTTTTATCTTACATTATCTTACTGGAAGGTCTTTCCTGTGGGCATGGAGGGGGCCGCAATAATGGTACTGTGAATACAGCTTGTCACTTACTGTGGGTTTGGTTTGTCTTCTCCCTCCTCCTCTTCATGGATGAGGCTGTGAATAAGGTGCAGTATGGTGGCAACATCCTGACCACTGTAAAAGAAAGGATCATGAATTCCATATTAAACTTTGACTTTCTTTGTTTACACCAAAGCAGAAAGAATGTTCATGTAAATATACTTGAGCAAATCCAAACATTTAATATAAGCCAACAGCACAGATGAAATTTCTTTCCTCTCAACCAATTTAATACAAAACAAATACAAGATATTTAATGTTCAAACTGATAAACTTTATTGTTTTTAGCAAATAATTTTCATCTTTGAATTTTATGGCGGTAACAAGCTGAGACAGGGTCATGTTTAACACTGTCTTACGTCACCTTTTCTTTTAACAAAATTCAATAAACATTAAGGAACCGAGACACAAATTGTCAAAGCTTTGTTGGTGGGTTAAAGTGAAGTTCAAAAGCCACTTTTTGTCAAGTCATCACGCTAGCATGCAAGTGTTTCTTGTATGTGCACTAGCATCCGTGTGCGTGCGTGTGCCTTACGCTTCCTGCAGGGGACCAGGTATGCTTGTTCTACTGAAGATTGAGCCCTCTGTTTTCTCCTCCATTCCTCTAGTTTATAGAAGACAACAAAAATAAATGTTTATATGCACACATTAATCAGGTTATTACCATAGTTTTTTTTTCTACCTATTCACATTTCTCTGAGAAGCCCGTTTGTATGCTTTGAGTCTAATTTAAACGCTGGCCTAACTTATGTTTGCCTCCACTACTCTTGGGGTCAATGACGCTCCTTTCTGCTTCTTTGGCAGTGACGGCTGAACAAGGAAGATGCTCCTTGCTAGTTGCTTACCAGGAAACTACATAAAAGGCATACTTTTACAGATCTGTACATCTTTTAAATGAAGTATTCATAAAAGAAAAAATACTGCACAAAGGAGATCTGCCTTGGTTCGTGTAGAAATGGTGGTGCATTTGATTAAACTTCTTGAAGCACTGTTGCTTTCTGGCCGGAACAGGTTCCTTATTTGAGGCTTCAAAGTACACGCGACACCTCCTGGTTGAACAAACATAACCAGCAACAGTAAAAACTCTCAATAAAAAAAAAGTTTCAGGATGACACGGTTGTCAAATGACACAATATCCAACACCTCCGAACAATCCAAAAATATTAATAGGACTTTGGATCATCTAAAAATTTTTCAAGGTTAGGTGCGCCACCAAAAGAAACCATTACTTGAAGAACTACATCTTCCAACATTGACAACAATACACACCTTGATATGTGTTTCATGAAATCCTTCATGGATTACTTGTGATACATACCATGAACCGTACTATGAAGGCCTTTACATAAACATTATATATTGACCAGATTGGTCTGATAATGATGAATGAAATTCATTCCGATGGCCTGCTTTATTGTACTTAAAGATCTGGAAACAAACTTTTCCCTCCACAAGTTATGACTTTAAATCAGGGGTGCCCATTACGTCGATCGCGATCGACCGGGAGCTCGCGGACTGGTCCCAAGTCGATCGCGAGGGGTGGAGAGGAAAAAAAACAAACATATTCTTGTCTCTATGCACGTTAGTAATATAGTTTTTGTGTTAATGCACACTGCACCCTAATCATCCCATCGGTCTCACTTTCACAAAAAGTATTAAATAAAGAAGAGAAAATAAATCAGGTCATCTTAAACCTATGGAGGCGTGTGACCTCCGTCACCGGAAGTTGTTAGCGCTCAGCAGTCTGCAATTGCAGCTTGTGATCAGTGTTGTTGCGCTCTATCTTTTATCGTTGTCATTTTTCTCATTCAGAGTTTGTTTCGTATACAATTCACCGAGGGAAAGGGCAAAGAATGGAAATCGGGAGGTCCGAGAGAAGCATTTCAAAATGGTACGTGTGAGCTACGATAGTTAACAGGCTACAAAAAAGCGTTGCATGCCACTGCGTCAGCCTGTTGCTCATCATGGCATGCGTGCGTAAGTGTGTGCGTGTGCGCGGCAATGGGTCGATTGCACGAGGTTGGGTGATAAAAAAGAAGATCTTTGGTCAAAAAAGTTTGGCCACCCCTGCTTTAAATACTTTTGACTTGTGACATGTTTATGCTCTTGTCTAATTCAGTGGTTCCCAAACAGTTTTTGGAGCCACCCCACTTTTTGGGTAGGAGACTTGTGGAGCCCCTTCTGGGGCCCCTGTACATACCAAATATATGTGAACAAAACTGAAAATGTTGATGTGATGTGAATGCTGATGTGCAATTATACAGCAACAGACTCAAGTCTCACCTTTGTCCATCTCCTAAGATCCTCATGGCATCACTCAGATTCTTGCCCACGTGAGCCACTGTGGTGTCCACCATCTCCAGAGATGTTTGCCTACCAACTGTTTGTGTGCTGGGAAAGAGTAAAAGACAGTACAAGATCTTATGTAAATACATTAAGAATGTACACATTCATTTTTATTCACAATAACAAATACAACAGAGTATAAAAAAAGTTGGTCAAATTTTCAGAGCAATGAGGCCATTATTCAAAAGACAAATACGAATGACTTTTTAAAATCTCTAATTCATTTAAAATAACAGTTTCAAAATCATTGTAAATGGTAAATTCCATTGTACATAGTAGTAGCAGTGGGGCCTCTGTCACAACAACCGCCTGTGTCATACAGTACCTGTACATGAAAGGTACATTTGTGGACCAACCTGGACTCATCTCATGTTTTGCAAATTGGCACTTCCACTGTTGTTCAGAAGTGTGTTGTTGTCATGGTCCAAACATCACACACGTTATCATGATCAACTATTAGCTTGGTCTCGTTAGTTAAATTAAATTAAATTTTCCTTGAAAATGTTATTTAAAATCCAATTTGTATGCCGTTGGTGTCATAGAGCTTTTCACTGTACACAAACGTTGCATTTTATTTAAAGGAGCTTTTCAAATCATAAAGACACCTTAATAAGAGTAAAAATTTAAGTAAGGAATGTCTAAGTTACTCATGCAAGGAAAAAAAATTGCATGTTAGATAAAGGTACAGATGAAACGTTTGTTATGTGTGACTTTATGAAACAGAATACTCCTGTGTTTCAGTGTTCACTAACCCAACCCAAAATACAATAAGATTCTGTCACACCTGAAGGGTTGAATTCAATCCCAGAGTTAAATGGGTGTGACTCTTGCAATGTGTGACATCATTTATTTTGAAAAGCAGACGACAGGTTATATTTACTTAGGGTTTACCAACAGTTTTTATGCCCTGAAGAACTGCATTACATGAATGAATACAGATAGTTTTTAAAGGTGTAGTAACATTAAAAATAATTCCAATTTTAAAAAGTGAGTTTTTTAAAAAAAATGATGAAAGACACAATTTACCAATAGCAGAATACTGAAAGGTACCAACATTTTAACGATGTCTTTGACAGGTGCACTGCTGCTGCTGTACAGCGACAGTCCTTCCCCGCAAGAGCTGCAAAGTCAACCACTTCTTTGCTTTGTTTTTAAGGCGATAATAACGATATAATGGTGGCGTGTATACCGGTCGAGCATTTACGCAAATTTCTGAGTAATGTGTGTTAGTATGTAGAATGCACTACGCTGTTTGACGGGGGAATTACAGGCGGCTAGCTAGCAACACGCATCTGAAAGAACCTCTTTACCTTCACTGACTTCACTAAACGCTTCCCACTGTCTGCGATGGAAAGACAAGCCTATGGCAAAGAAATCCCACCAAGTCTCGTCATGGAGCTTTCTTGAAGAAAGTTTGTGATGTTGACTTTGAAGTGTTTCCTGCTCTTTCCGTGGCGTCAGGCGCAACTGTGCAGATGACTTCCTGGTTTGGTACGAGACGTGCGTTCCACGCTGGCAGTGGTGACGTCACGCTTGTAACAAGCCAGTCAGGTGTTGACTGATGACAACGCTCAATGCAGACGCTCGCTGTAAGAAGTATTTTATTTTATAAGCATCCAGGCACATAAAATAGTAAGTTGGTTGACCTCAATATAAACCAACAAACTTTACTTTGTGCTAAAATGACTATACTTTGTAGCTGTATTGGTGGTATGTGTTAAACCAAAGTGAATACAGTCAGCCTTCGCAGAATCCGGTTCGGCACTCTCGTATTTTTTCTTCGCAGATTTTTTTTTCAATATTTTAATGTCTTTTTTCAATATTTTAATTTCTTCATGCCGGTATCCCCCCGCCCCCAAGCCCCCTCATCATTTATGGAAAAGGTACGTGGCAAGTTTATCAGGGTTTTTGGAAACATTTTTCAAGTTAAAAAAAACAAAAACATTCCCCAGTGTACAGTATTTCATTCATCCATCGAGCCATCCATTTTCTAATCTGTTTATATTCCCGAGAGTTGCAGGCACTGCTGGAGCCTATCCCAGTAGTCTTCAGGCAGTAGGCGGGGTACACCTGAACTGGTGCCAGCCAATCCCAGGGCACACAGAGAAAAACACTTAACATTCGCACTCACAATCACACGTGGGGACAATTTAGAATCTAAATTTTAGATAGTGCTCCATTAGCCTGCCGTGCATGTTTTTGGAATGTGGGAGGAAACCGGAGTACCTAAAGAAAACTCACGCAGGCACAGGTGGAACATGCAAACTCCACACGAGAAGGAAGGAGATGCAATTGAACCCTGCACCTCTGCCCTGTGAGGGCGATGTGCTAACCAGTCAACCAACCGGGTTGCAGTCCAAAACATGTGTGTGCAAATCGCATTTGGCACAATCACATAAAAATATACAATTCAGATTGTAATAGGGGTTTAAAAAATATCTTACTCACCTTTAATGTTTTTGAAGGTTGCTTGTCAAGTGTAAATTTTACGAAATGTCCAAGATTTGTGTGTACTGAACAAGATAGATTTGAAAACATCAAAATTGTGGATAAACTTGGAATGGTATTCTACATAATTTTTATTTTTTATTATTGCGTATTGGCAAGGAAAATAACACAAACACTGTGAAACACAGAATACAACTGAATGTTTGGCGATTCTATAACTTTTCCCAACTAAGGTTAGCAGGTCAGTTTTTTGTTTGATTGCTGATTAATATGAATATGCTGTTTCATCAATTTTAAAGTAGCCTTGCATCTTTTTTTAATGTTGTAAACTGTGTTGCTGATTGTTACCCTGGCTTATGGACAGTCTTGTGTGACAATAAGACAATCAGTGTTTGTTCCAGTTATCTGTAACTTGCAACAATAATGTGACTTCAGGTATGTGTGCTATTAAAAGCAAAGCCTCCAGGACAAAATAAAACTCCACCAACAGGATTGACTTTCCTGATAATCTAGTTGATCTTGTTGGTGTCAGATACTTTCAGGCGAAAGCTGACTCAGGACCCCAATAGCTTCACACAGTAAATATTTGCTACTGTATTTTGGAATGTATGCCTTGGAAGAGTCAAGAACTTAAAGATTGAAACCAAAACTAATAAAACTAAAACAAAACAACTCTAAATAATCCATAGGTGTTACTGTGAAGGTGACTGGTTGTTGGTCACAATGTGCATTGCAATTGGCTGATGACTCCTTCAGAGTCTCCAACCTGCATCTCACCCAAAGTCTTTTGGGATGGTCTCCAACTCCCAATGAGGAAACTATTTTTACTCATGAAGTTATTTGTTTGCCCAATGTACATGTAGACCTTGTTTTTGGCAGGCTTTAAGATGGAACTTTAAATGTCAAATTCAGCCAGGATTTTCTTGAAAAAAAATTCAGAAGTCTACAAAAAATCCAGAGCCAATTTCATGATGCAATGCAACCCACCATATAAGACCTTGGTTCAGTAAGTGTAGTAGGAGTGGGGTTTTGTGTTTGTTTCCGCTTGATTCAGCACAATATAATCAATGAAGTTACAGAGTTCAACATTCACGATGGCCTGATGGCCCGGGGCCAGTATGGCACTGTATTGGGCCACCACATAGCTATAGACGCTGGCAGATTTGAAAAATATATACGGTGAAATCCACACATTCTTATTTTTTAGTATACAGTATACTATTCACTGAAATTGATGAAGCCATTTTTTTTTGCAGACATAAGGAATCGGTTGAACAAGATATAAAACCCGGAAAAAATAAATATTATTGTCTGGATGGATATTTTACCACGTTCACAGTCAGCCAACTTAACTTGTACGATTTGCTTTTTATCAAGGGGAGAGTATGGATATGGAGTGGCTGCCTTGACTCATCCACCAACGCGCAGCGCTCTTCACATTGTACATCACTGATGTGCCTTTTGTTGACAGACTACTGGTACACATTTCAGTATTTCATCTGCAGATACGCATTCTTGCTCTCAGACGGAAACTCTGTCTGACCAAACCTGATCAATTTCTTTTAAAATGTCGGTGTGTGCTTCTGATAGTGTTCGACAGTGTGGTGAAATTTGCTGACAGTCCTAAAATAGTAGTCACAAACTGTAATTTAGAGTTAATGGGAGCCCGTTTAAAATAATGACATGGTGATGGACTGGCGATAACAGTTTTGGTTTGTCTTGAAATAACACCGAATGACGGACTGGCAAAATTTACTGCTGCGCCCATCTGTGGTGTTTGTATGTCGGCTGAGTCTCGAGCTAGCTATCAATGGCTAGCTTCAAACCTGTAAACGTATTTATTGTGTGTGTGAAAGCTCATTTACATTTGGACCCGCGGTTCCATATGCTCATGAAAGCTGATTGGTGAACCCTACCCAAGAGTGAAAGTTCAAACAGGTTTGGTTGCATTGTTCGGTGTTCAGCAGGCACATGGTGGATTTAAAGCAGAGACTTGTGTGTCTCAAGATACTGTAGCAAAAATAGTTGCGTGACGTGACCATTTTCTCTTTTCATTTCCCACCAACACACTAATGCGATGGCAAGAAAGTGCACTCTTACTTTTGAGTGATTCACAAGATCAAGAGTAATGCATCAGAGGGTGCAGGAGCCTCATTCTCCCAAAGTGACAAAAAGACATGCAGAAAAGCATCTTAAGAGGACTCTGAATCAAAAAGACATAGAGGACTTGTAGATTTGCGGCTGCATCAGGTATATGGATGGGTCCCAAGCCCTGGTCCTAAACTGGACTGGCTGGTGCTGAGTTAAAAAAACAAACAAAAAAACTGTTGTATCAGTAAGCTCCACCCATAATGATTCTCGTAAAGGTCAAGTGTGAAGTAAACTTGGCCAAACATGTTTTGAGTAATATGGCAGAAACTGTTTCAAACATACTTTGGTTAGATTTCTAACGCAACCTGCCCAGGTTAATTATTAGACCCATAGCAACACGCTGAACAATGTGTTAGGTTGATTGTTTTTAGTTATCATACATTTGCATATTATTAATGGTAAATTGATTATGCTTGCAATGAAGAACGCTTATGCCTGCAATGATAAATTGATTATGCTTGGAATGAAGAATGCTTATGCTTTTAATAAAAATATAATGCTTTTAATGAAGATATGCTGACATTTATAATGTGAGAATGCTTGGTGCACTGGGTGGCAGTTGAGGGACGCAACCACCTTCCCGAGGAAGTGGTTGGAAAGAGATAAGTATTAAGACAAAACAAGAGCAAGGTCGGTCGTGGATGGAGCTGTCAACACCAGCTGCAACTTCAGGCCTGAGGATTTCACGGAAACAATTGTTTCCGGTAGTGTGTCGTTTCTGTGGGATCATTTTCACTGTACAGAAAAATCGTTTCCCATAAAAAATCACCGCGCACTAGTTGACTGTACGCGATCGAATCTCTCCTGTGTGATCAATGCGATTTCACTGTGCCTGTAGGTGTGTTTGTGGTGTGGTGTTTGAGTGTTTTTCTTCTAATCTACTTTTGTGGGTTTTTTTAGTGGTGAGGGGCGAGGGGGGCGGAACAGATAACGTTATGTGCGCATGCGGGTTGCTAGTTTAGTCTGCACGCTGAGAAAGCGCGCGGATGACCGAGTGAGATGGCGGCGAAAAAAAAACAGAGGTGTATTACGACATTTAAGAAATGGGAATGCCAATCAGATTTTTCATTGGAATCATCTGAAGAAGGGCGGATCACGAAGATCACATGTGATGTATGCACAAAACATGACAGATTCGACGGGAGGCACGATTCAGAGACAAGTATTGAAGTTGGTCATTAGATCTAAAGCAGTGGTTCTTAACTTTGGTTCGATCGAACCCCAGGGGTTTGGTGAATCAGTCTGAGGGGTTCGACAGAGCCTCTGCCATGCAGGTGAAGGCACACCCAACTCAACATGTCATTTAGTTATGACACGCCCGCTTGATCATCACTGGCTGCAGATGATCACCTTACATTGCTTGTCCAATCAGTGCTTCTGGAAATTTAGTTTGCTCAGTAGTCAACATGACTATTGTGATAGTACGTCGTGTGATTTTAAATCTCAATGTATTTTAACACATGCTATGTCAAGCAAAAAAAGATAGTGGTCAGACGAATATGTACAACATGGATTCACATGCATCATGGAACATGATGGAACTCAGCGTCCTATCGGCATGATTGACAGCGTCCTATCTGCATGAGTGCTAAGTTGAGCAACTCCCGTCTCGCACCGGCAAAACTGAAGGAACACTTCTCGTATCCTATCTTTATTTCTCACTAAGGGTTCCGTGAATCTGCATATGAACCGGGTGGGTTCGGTATCTCTAACAAGGTTAAGAACCACTGATCTAAAGGCTAATCGCTATGAAAAATATGTAAGCTTTTGTTAAATTGTTAATTATTGTCATTTGACGTTTGAGCATTATATTCTTTCGTGTTAGGATTACCTAAATTATATTCTGTTTAATAATTGCTGAAACAAGTTTATGTTGATATTGTCTGATTGGCTGAAGGAAAGCAGTAGTGTTTGAGTAGCCGGAAGGAGGTGTGTTCTCGTTCGTTCGTTTGGGGGTGCAGATGTTGGAAAAATAAAAGCTGCATTCAAACGAAGTCCATCTCTCCTTTCGCCCATTCATAATGTAGAGCCATCCATTCAAAAACTACGAACCCCTCAATTTACAAATATACAGTGCATCGTCTTGGGGTTGCAAAGAGGACGTCAAGCCATAATCAATACTATATGTCTATATATAGTAATAAGGTCTTTTTTTTTTTTTTTTTTTTAAAGAGTCATCACATGATTTTAATCATTCAATTTCTATTACAGGCTTTTGTATTAATAAAGGGGGGGAGTAGCCATTGATATTATGTTACATAAATAGTACACACACATAATCATGTTAGCCGTGTCAGGTTTACTTTTGGCCCATGGTATATAGCCAGGACTGGAGTATTGCGTACACGTATGTGTTACCGATGGCCATAGTATTTCATAGTAATTAATATATTAATGATAACCAGTAAGTTAATCTTTGCAGTGTGAGACTGGAAAAAATAGTCAGATTTTGTGGTATGCTGTATTCATGATGCCATATGAGTATAATAAAAGTGTTAAACAACATATTTTGATCCATTTATTTTTTTTAAATAAACCTGGAGTACACAGCTGTTGATGTAATGCTCATTGTTAATGCATTTACCCTTTAAATATTATACTTTTGAGTATCAGAATTCTTGATTATGGATATCATTCTAAATAGAAAAATGGGTTCCCATGATGAACGTTTGTGGAACCCAACATTAGTTACCGTGGTTTCCCATTGTGTTATCCAACGGAACCGAAAAATGGTTCTGGTCATTTCTGAAATCCTCATGCCTGAACTTGGTGTTTTCGTAATGATTGCACACATGTACATAATTTTCACTCACACACACACACACACACACACACACACACACACATCGTCAAACAAGTTCAGTGTGTCTTCAACAGCCCTCACCCTTTAGGTTGGACACACCCATGTATTAGGTTCCCATTGAGAGGGCGAGCGGGGAGATCCTTGGATGACGTGCAGAGAACTGAAACCTAATGCTTCTCCTTGTTCCCCTGGTACCAGAATTGAGTCTCCTGTCTCCTCCTTGTGTTTTATTTCTGAATGTCTTATTGATGAACCTGACACAATGAAAATGCTTTAGTTCGGCAATCTTCGGTGAGTGATGTCATTTAAAGAATGCTGAGTCACCAGTCAGCCATTGAACTGCATTGTTGATTGTCCAGTTAACTGCTCTTTGGCACTGTTATCGAGTTATTCGTCGAAATGCCTCGGGGATGCATGGTGAAACATCGTTCACATTCAGGCCAACAGTTGTTTGAGGGACCAAAAGATAAAAATAGAGCGCATAAACGGACCATTTTTGTTCTCTCGTCAACGGATGGTTGCCGGTTTATATAAACTCAGTCAGACCAATGAACCGGTCCGTGGCAGAAAAAAAATTGGGACCACTGTCTAAGTCTAAGTGTCACAATTTGTCTTGGATTTGTTAGTTGATTTGTGTCAATGCAGATATGGTGACTTGCGAAAAAACAAATAGGGTGTTGGAATGGTATAGTATACTTCTCATCCAATCCATCCATTAATTTTCCGATCCGCTTATCCTCACAAGGGTGGTGGGGAGAGCTGGAGCCGATCCCAGCAGTCTTTGGGCAGTAAGCGGGGGAGACCCTGAACTGGTTGCCAGCCAGTCGCAGGGCGCACAGAGACGAACAACCATCCACGCTCACACTCACACCTAGGGACAATTTAGTGTGTTCAATCAGCCTGCCATGCATGTTTTTGGAATGTGGGAGGAAACCGAACTACCCGGACAAAACCCACGCAGGCCCGGAGAGAACATGCAAACTCCACACAGGGAGGCTGGAGCTCGAGTTGGAATTACCTCTGCACTGTGAGGTCGACGTGCTAACCACTGGCCCACCGGGACACCCTCTCATCGAATCAACCACAATAAACCTTACTTTTTCTTATTTATCCGGATAGATTTTTTATTTTTTGACAATGACGGGACGGAATGAGCACAATTCAAAATGAACTAGAACAATGCTTTTTTTAAATTGTAAGGAGTGAGGAGTACGGATATTTGCATGAAAATGTGAGGAGTAGAAGTAAAAAGTAGGCTGAAGCACCTCTGAAAATGGACCAGTTTGAACAATGTCTCATTCCATTCCTGTGTGAAGAATGCATATATCAAAGAAGGTACACAAAAAAATAATGACATCCACGAACTACAAATCCACCCACTTTCCAAACCACTTATCCTCACAAGCGTTGCGGGCGTGCTGACCCTATCCCAGCTGTCTTCGGGTGGTAGCAGGGGAATTCCTGAACTGGTTACCAGCCAATTGCAGGGTATACATAGACAAACAACAATGAGCGCTCACAATCACACCTGGGTAAAATTTAGAGCGTTCCATTAACCTACTACGCATATTTTTTGAATGTGCGAGGAAAGCGGAGTACCCGGAGAAAACCCACACAAGCACAGACAGGGGAGAACATGCAAACTGCACGCAGGAAGGCCGGAGGTGGATTCGAACCTATGATTTCTGCACTGTGAAGCGGATGTGCTAACCCATGCCGCCCACTAAGCAAGACTCGATACAGGAAATTACTGTATATGATGTGCAAATTCATATGGTAAACTGTTGCATACAACAATAAATCATCACATCATTCATATATTACATGACATCAAATTTTATTGTCATTTAACAGGTAAAGGTACATGTAAAGCAAGTAGATTGTGTTTAATGGAGCAGTTACATTCACTGTTGTCAATTTTGTATATGGATTGAACAATATGTGATCCACAAAGTGCAAATCAATCAAAATCTTATTTTTATAAGTTAACATGTTTGTGGGAGTGAACCCAAATTACATGGGGATCATATTAGGTATGGAATTTGAAACATTTTTTGCAAAGAGCATATCTAAAATGTAATTTTTGCACACTTTTACATGGCCCTGAGTAAACCAGAATAATGCAGCTTCCAAGATGACTTGTGCAAATACATTTTTAAATGTGACCTTGGTGGTATATTGATGGTTACAAGCCCAATTATAGAAGTACAGTACAACCAAATTTACATTATGGACACATTTAAAGTGCCCATGCATGTTCAGTCGGTATTGATGTGTTGTCAAAACTACTGTATCATGTTATACAGTGGAATCTCAAAAGTCAAACATTCCAGTAGCTCCACTGACTGATTCACATTGTGGAAAAGTGGTTCTTCATTGATATCCATGAAAAGCACTAATAAAATATTCACAAAAATGTGATGGGTGAGATTATTATGCACTTCACTCCATCAGCACCTAAAAAATACCTCTGAGAACAGCATCACTCCGCAGGCACCTTCCTTTCCGACTATGTTTGTGTCAAGCTTCTTTAATTAATGTTTGAGTAGTTTTACTTTGTCTTAGTTTTATTGGAGGGTAATTTGTATTGATACTTTTAGAACAGGTTAGAACGTTGAATGTTAAATGACTGTCTGTAGTTCATGAAGGTATAAAAGTCACTTTACATGTAATGGAACCAGTGAGTTGTGATCAACTTTTGAGGGTTGACTGTACAGTAATCGTAGCCATTATAAACAAGCATTTATACATACACACAATCAAACACTTTCGTATTTTAAAATATATGGAATAAATTATTCACCCACACCTAAACTAGCTGGCTGCACAACAATAACATGCATTCATGCTTTACACATGTCATGCGTGAAAGGCCCCATTGGAGACAAGCATTCATCAAGTAGGCTTGTATAACAGAAAATAACAATAGCAATGCAGAGGATGTTACATGTGTTTCATCAAATGTAAACAAATTTAAGAGAACTTTTCTTTGCCATTGGGGATGTATCAGCAGTCTTGATTCATGCATTTGTTTAAAAAGATCTTACGATGATAAATATATCTTTACTTCACATTTTTGGTGGGGAAAAAAAGTTCATTAAAAGGAATAAACTATTGAAAATAGCTCTGTATGATCATAAATTATGATAAGAGTACAAGAAAACCCAGATTGATTTGTCGCTGTTATGTCGCTGCAAACATTTTATCAAACACAAAACGGTGTTTCATAGTGGAACAAAAGTTGGAGCAGTTGTGAACACAGGGGAAAGCATCTGACCAACAGTTCATGATCAAAAAAATATCAAAATTGCATCACTTATCATTGAAGCTTAAAATGTAGAAAATGGGGATAGCGAAAATACTTTGAGGGCAACTAAAAAGCAGCATAAAGTACATTCTTAACTTGTTGCCCTGTTATCATGCTATATTTCTCTCTTTTTTTTTTTTTGTTTTTTTTTTTAGTATGTAGCCAAAAGAAGCAATGCAAAAAAAAAAAAAATAAATGTTTAGTTTCAGTGAAATAACTATTTTCTCATCTCCTCTGTCTCATAGGTTAAGTCTGTGTTTTCTTTATCTTTTATAGTTTGGGCAACCTCATTTGTCGTTCTTGTTTGTTAGTGTGCCACCCCAAGGAATTTCTTCATGTGCTCATACACCACATAAGAGATGCTAACAGCAGGAATGACTTTGAGAAAATTGGGTGTTATGCCACGGTACAGACCAGACACACCTTCGTTGGATAAGATGTATTTGAACTGGCCCACCATGGTCAGTTTTGGTTTACCCTCCGTGCTGGCTGAAAGAAACACAATAATTGGCGTCTCAGTCTCGCATGTCAAGCACACTCGTTTGCTTCATAAGAACGTGCAGCTTGTCTCACCTTGCGCTTGCATTCGTGTCCGAATGAGAGCGAGTGGATATGATGCTAGCTGCCCACAGGTGCTGGAAACAGTACCACAGCCCAGTAGCACCAAAACACCCGGATCTGCAGAGTCTAAACAGTACCTCTGAAGCCAGGCGTTCTTAAGAGTCTGAAAAAAAATGACAAATAAAAAGGTGAAGATAATAACAAAGGGCATTGGAGGATGACAAATGTGCATTAAAATATAACTACTGGTACACATGCACTAAAACATTCAATTACAGTGGAACTTCCAAAGTTAAATACCCTCTCTTGGATATTCCAAGATGTTGATAATTGTGCAATTTGTCCATATTTTAAACTACTTGTATCAAAACAGGTATAACTCCAAGTTTCAAAATATTTGCAGTAACGTTTTAATAGTAGGGCTTGGCATAAGAACAGACGCATCTCTATTTAGCGTGTTTGTGAATTTAGTAGACGCGTTATGTGTCGCTGTGCGTGCTGTGTGACGCGGCTGCCGTAACCCGTGTCATGTTCTGCCTGTTTTGATTGTGGTTCAGCTGCAGCTGGAATGATGGGTGTTTCCCTTCAGCAGGCCCATCAAGCCTTGCCATGTATTTAAGGACTGCCAAGTTGCCAAGTCACTGTTGTGCTTCAAGTGTTGTATTAAAGACCGTTCGATATTTTTCATAGTCGCTCTCGTTTTGTCATAAAACTACAAGTATTTTCAGTTTTCCTTTTTATCGATCTTGAGCTTTGGTTTCGCGTTATTGGACTTTTGATATTTCGTTTGTGTATTCTCGGTGTTCTCTTGTACCTTGCCTTGTTTTTTGTTTGATGCGTTGTTTTTTTTCCTGGCTCCCTGTGACCAGCGATTTCAGTTTGTACTTTGCGGGGTGCACTTTTCTGTAATAAATATTTTTGTCTTTGTCTGAGCCTGCATTTCTGGAATCCAAAGCATTTGGTTTGGTTCAGAACCTGACACCCTGGCGTGTCTCGTATTTTGGTGATTATAAAGTTGACTAGAGAATCGCTAATAGGTGTGTTTTGCAGCGCAGGTGGTGTAACCTGATTTGGGTGGATTTGATCTATGTGCAGGCAGACAGATTGGGCACTCTGACCACTTGTGTGGTAGATGTCATCTATTTCATTCGTAAATATAACCATGTGGCACAATCATTGTATAAATCAATTTATTGTATAATCAGTATCTTAATAGCACTGCCTAACTGTGCAGCACCACTAATGGGAGGGGCTCGGGAAGGAGGGGGGGGGGGGCTAGCGGGTTCACACATGGACGCAAACGTCGTGGCTGCAAGATGGTCTCCAATTTGCCCATGTCACAAATGCGGCTGACTACATCATCTACAAGGAGAGAGCTTGCAGTTTATGTGCCAATGTCATGCAAGGACCCCAGCGACTCTTTTTCTTTCTGCAATGTCAAACCGGCGTGAGACTGGACCGTGCTGATTTTAATGTCAAAGAGGAATATCGCCATGATTGACTGCGGAAAATGCTTCTTTCATCCCTCAATGGCGCATGCGCCCTGTTACGCCCAAGTCTACCTGTGCGAGCCAAACATCAGGAGAAAGAAAACTGCACCCATACGTACAGTTAGACTGCTCTTAGCGGTAGATATAATTTTGTCTGTTTGCCACCACTGATAACCCTTGAGTGTCTGCATCACAGAAAACAGAAAACTATCTCTTACTCTACTGGATGCCAAGTTTAAGTCGAATAAAATTTGCTTAAGTCTTAGAGATAATGCATACTGCCTGCCTTGTGTGATGTTGCGCATGATGACAGTTCAACCTTCATGTTACTCATCCCAAAAAGTTTGGTTGCGCTCCAAATTGATGCCTCTGGAGAATTTGACTTTGGAGGTTTCACCTTAGTTAAGACCAAGGTTGACCTTAGACTCATTGATGACTCATCTGCACTAACCTCATACACAGCTAGGTCGATACCAGCGTAGGGGATAATGCCAATCGTATTTGGCAGGTAGCCCCTGTAAAAAGCCCGGACTCCCTCCCTTCTCAGGATCTGTCTGGCGCAGTCAGCCATACCTGCGTATTGTCCCGTTGTCCTTAATGTGAGACGAGTTTTAAGCACCTACCGGATAGAGAAGAAGAAGGAAAAAAAACTGATTAACAAAATAAATCTTAACTACATGGTGATGAATCACATTTGTCAAACGGTGATGCTGGGACAGTGCAGTGAATTAAAGTAATTGCCCTTTTCTCAAATGTTTACATTTTGCATAGTTTCCCCCACTATAATGTTTCAGATTTTAAAATGTAAATACTGTATCAATAAACAAAGAAAATGTCATGATGAAAATATCTGTTTTGCTTTGTTTCTTCAGTCTCTAGCTATAGAGTGGGTGTTCCCTCACGGGTCGCACCTGTCTCGTGACCTCTGCTTTAAAAGCCATACCACGCCGACAACTGGCTGTCGGATTGTTTGCCTTGCTCATGACTCTGTCCCCAAATACTGTACTTCATTCTCTAGATGTTCTTGACATTTTTGCCTTACAGCCTTGCCTCGTTAGTTCGTAGTAATTTTGTTCTTGTATTTTCCTTGTTATGTATTCTCTGTTTATGTTCTTCATGTATTAGATTTTCATGTCCTTTAAATTGACAAGCAATTTTCATTTATCTCGTTCCTTGCCTTTTGGATTGCTCTCGCCTTTTCCTGGTTTCCTGTTACCAGCATCCTTCGTTGTAATTTGTTGGTCTTGCGTTTTTGTTAATAAATATTTTTGTATCGCCATTTATCTGAGTCTGCATTTTTGGGATTCACTATCCACCTCGTCTGTGTTGGGACCTTGTCAGTTCGAGCCTTTTCCTCTTTCCTTGTTACCAGCATTCTTCGGTGTACTTTGTCAGTCTTGCGTTTTTGTTAATAAATATTTTTGTGATCAAAACCTCTTATATCTGTCCACGCTTTTGGAATCCTCATTCCGTCCGGACTTCGTCTGGACACCTGACTAATAAATCAAGCAAAAAAATTCAGTTTTCAAATGGTGATTTCATTTAGTGATAGACAACTTATTAGCCCGCCCAATATTTGGCATTTTGGGTATTTTTGGCATCGACCCTTTGTGTTAATCTGACACTCATGCCCACCTCGCTAGGTCCCCTGAAAAATCCAGCAGTATTTTTTTTTTTTCCAAAATAACAAAATGAATTCACGGGTAAGTCACGATGAAATTATAATAATATACAGTATTTAAAAGATTGTTTTTATTTTAAACAAACTTTGCATTGAACATATATTGTTTCAGCAACTATGCATCATTGAACAAAAACAAATTAATTTTAATGCATATATTGTTTCAGCAACTATGCATCAATGAACAATAACAAATTAATGTTATCAATTTTATTATAATATTGGCTAAATTGTGTATTCACGGATGTCAATACACAAACGAAAAACTTCTTTCTTTGCATATTTGAAAATTAAGTCATATAAAATGAAATTATGGTTGGACAGGGGTGTCGCCAGTCCACTTTTGCTGGGGCACGTTCCCCAGTATTAAAGAGCAATGCCCCAGTATCAGGTACAGACTGGCCTGGACGCCCGGAAAGGGACGAGAAAAAAAAGTGTTTCCCCACATTCATGAATTTGCGATCTGCTTGTGCCAGACACTCCCTTCCCCTGCCCTTGCCTGACCCCCCCTTTCACCTCCCCTGCTCATCGTGTGTTGAGCAGCGCTGGCAGGTGGGCCCCATCTCTGACAGATGGCTGATATTGGTTTTATCAGTGACACTGGTCAAAAGAGTCATTGCAATGACATGTGGGGTGTTGGAGATCCCCCGACTAGCAGGCTCATTGAAAGTATGTCATTCTTACATCCAAATAAGACTGTGTAGCAAACTGATCTATGGAGGTATGCAAAAATGAAGAGGAAAAAAATAAACAATCTGATCAGTTTGAAGGTAAAATAATTCTACCGTATGCCAATGATATTTACATTTCAACTAATTTTCATTGTATTTATGATAAATTGGCTGAAGTTTGCAGAAGATGTTTGAAAGCAGCAAAGAATAGTCAAACATAATGAAAACAACAAAAAAAGCTAATTTACTGAACATAAATAAGTGAGTAGTTAAAAATTTTACTTGCATGGTTCCATATTTTGGGGCAAAATCCCACCATTTGCATATGAACTGGTTGGGTTCTTAATTAACCTCTAAAAAGGTTAAGAACCACTGCTCCACACTATTACCTATATAGTGACTTATATAGGGTACGTGCCATTTGGTACGGGTGGTATCAAATATCCATTGAAATTTATTGACTGCTTTTACAATAAAGCAGTCAATATTTCAGTGATATTCTTAGGTACAGGCACAGGAATTCTGCCAATCGTTGCCCGTTTCTCGCTAGTTAGGTCAAATTCGTAATGACTTGTGTGTAATACACTTCGGCTGAGGGGTTATGAATGCGGGCTCAGTCGAAGTGCGGAACAAGGACGAAAACGGGCAGACCGACAAAGCGGAATTGAAGAATTGGAATGCGTAATTGAGGGCCACAAGGGTGGAAGTGTGGGTATTGAGATCGGGCCTCAAGACTCATGTACGGGCAGAGTAAAAAATATTGCGTGTGGTGACGGTACAGTGAGCAGATATGTTACAAATTTACAAAGATAAGACTTACAGACTTTACTTGAAAGATGAACATTTCAGTTGTATTGAATTTTTGGAAGACTATTTACTGTAGTAAAATTTAAGGGGATATTTATTTGTTTATGTTCTCATTTAACTCCGTCATGCTACCGATCCTTGGAGCTCCCTGCACTTTTTGTTCGAATTCGGAAACAAAGATGTCTGTTTCAGTCTAAAAAAGCCCTTAACATTCTGCAAAACACAAAAGCTTTTGAATAAACGTGCTTAAATATATTTACACAAAGTCATGTGTCGGAGTTCTTATTATTCATGCCATTAATTTTTTCCTCCGATTTTTTTCTGAAAATGAATATCAACTTCTAATATCAGTTATCGGCATCTCTTACTACTAATGATTGGCCCTAAAAAAAGCATATTGGTCTCTCATTAATTTTTTACCCTTTCAAGCACCCTGTAACTTGATAACATGATAAACTGTCCACTATAGTAACCGCTGCCCCTGAAAGGGTTAATTTATTCAAGAGAAAAACACTAATCAAAGCTAACTGGCCCTGTGTGAACAATTACTTGTTAAATCATGAACGAACTGTGGCTAATCATATTTTTGGGAAAGCTCATTTTTACTGACCATACCCAAACCGGATTACACACTGACCTGTACAATAAATCACCTAGATAGAACCTGTCTAACAGAATGAAATCATCCAAAAGATCTAAAAAAGCTACAACAAAATGTCACAATCCAAAGACATTCAAGAACAGACGGGAAATAACGTGAATCTATCAATCTGGAAATGGTAACAAAATCATTCCTTCAACCTTTAGGACTCCCGCGAACCACATTGAGTCCCCTTATCCTTCCTAGGAGTAGGCAGCCTGCAGGAATTATCCCAAGAGCACAGCACAGACATATCAGGGAGGTCATATCGAAATCCGGTTCAACATCTAAAGATGTGCAGGCCTCCCTTATTTAAGGTCGGTGTTCATGACTCAACAAGAAGGAAATGACTGGACAAAAAAAAATACATCCAAGGCGAAAACCACAGCTTGAACTTTTTGGGAAGGTCTAGTGACATTTGGCGTTAAGCTAAAATAACATTTCTGAAAAAGGACATCATAAACATGGTGGTGGTGGTGTGATAATCCGGGGCTGCTTTCTCCATCAGAATCTGGATGACTTGCTGTGATTGATGGAGCTAGGAATTCTACCCCATCCATTTATTTTCTGATCCGCTTATCCTCACAAGACCCTTGCCCCGCGACCCGCGGGGCATGCTGGAGCCTATCCCAGCTGACTTCGGGCCGTAGGCGGGGGACACCCTGAACTGGTTGCCAGCCAATTGGAATTCCACGATTGACCAGAAAATCATGAGGGAGAATGTTCGCCATTAAGTTTGTGACCTCAGACTCAAGTCCACTTGGGTTCTGCAGCCGGGACAAATTTCCAAAACACGCCAGCAAGTGAACTTCTGAATGGTGTAAAACACACACACTCACACACAAAATGAAGGTTGTGAAGTGGTCAAGTCAAAGTCCAGGATTTGCTGCGTCATTACCTTAAAAGGCTGTATTTGCTCGAAAACTCTCCACGGTTGCTGAATTAAAGCAATTGTGCAAGGAAGAGTAAGCCAAAATATCTCCACAGAGATCTGAAAGACTTGTCTGTTCTAGAAAACGCACGATTTCAGTTGTTTCGACTGTGGGTGGCCAAGCCAATTATTAGGGTTAGAGGGCACATAGTTTTTCAAAAAGGGCCAGGTACATATGATTTGTATTTTTTCCCCTGAATAAATAAAATCAGCATTTTAAAAAATGCATTTTATGTTTATTTAGCTTATCGGTTTTCTGATATTTATATTTGTTTTACCCTAAATGTTGAAGTGGGGGAGACTATACAAAAAAATAAGAACAATACTTTTTCATGGCACTGAACAGGTATATTGCGACTAAACAATTGGCCCTATTTATTTTCTTAGAAACAATAATGCGATAACAGGTTTGTTGCAATTCTATACTGATTCACAGAAATATAGACAACTCATTTTAAACCAATTGAGTGCAATCACTTTTGCTCGAATATTCAATAAGCAGAACGATAAATATATTAAATTTCATGTTTTAACCTCCATAGGGTAGATGATGGTCTGGGCAGTAGCTCCTGCCAAAGAACCAGCAAGAAATCTTTCTTGTACTTTTAAACTTTCCCCTTCCCTGCTGCCACGGATCAGCCACTTGATCTGAAGAACAATAAGAGGAAGAGAAGGAGAGAATGATAGCAGATATGAGATAGGAAATTTTTGCTTCAAAGTCCCCCTACATTTAAAAAAACCAAAAACCCTTTGTTGTCTGTGAAAATAAGCCTTTGTGGGGCACCCGCAAGCTGTTGACTTCTTGACACTGACCTGTTCATAGGCCATAAACTTAATTGCAGATTCTGGGGCAATCTTGAGGACATTGATGCCATTTCCCCTCCAGAGTGAAAAAACACCTCCTTCTTGGATCATCCCTCTCAGCCCCGACCACAGATTTTTCCCATGAGACACAGAACCGTGTACCTTGACACACAAGCACAAACCAGGCCAGCAGTCTTATTATATCCTGTGCTAATTTTGAAAACAGACTCCGTCATGAATGTGGATACCCTAAGACACGTACTTGTGCTCATTTAGAACACTAAAAGTTGTTGCTTTTTTAATGATGGGAATTGAGGAATTATCATATTTTTTGTTGTAAATTCGCAAGATTGACCTTTTGGAGACTTGTGCTTTGGATGATATTTTGTTTTGTGCCATTTTTTTAAGCTAGGATTGTTACAATAAGCAATTGCATTTTCTTTGAATAAAAAAAGTCTATCAAAATTTCACAAATAGAAAAGTATAACAATGTATCCTGTAGGAAATTTCTGGATGTTGCCACCTATTCAGCCATTGAATCCATGAGAGTAGCTGCTGGGAAACTAAATTACCAAGGGTGTCAAACATGTGATAATAAATGAAACAAACACACAGAATGGGAATATGTCATAGGTAAGAGCAAACTGAATACACCGTATACAAAAAAATATCTGCATCCGTAGGCCCGGTGGGCAAAACGTATCCAAACCCCTGTGTGATACAAATGATGTCATGGTTCTGTCTAGGGGTTTTTTTTTTTTTGGTAGAAGGTGAGATCGTGTCCTCCAGCTCCACTCCTGATCATCACCTCCCTTCAAAAGACTCATTTTTGTAATTGGATTTCTCTTGTCATCTATGGTCACGAGCTATGGGTCGTGACCGAAAGAACGAGATCCTGGATACAAGCGGCCGAAATGAGTTTTCTCCGAACGGTGTCCGGGCTCTCCCTTAGAGATAAGGTGAGAAGCTCGGTCATCCGGGAGGGGCTCAGTGTAGAGCCGCTTCTCCTCCACATCGAGAGGAGCCAGATGAGGTGGTTCGGGCATCTAATTAGGATGCCTCCTGGACGCCTCCCTGGTGAGGTGTTCCGGGCATTTCCCACTGGCAGGAGACCCCGGGGACTACCCAGGACACGCTGGAGAGACAATGTCACCCAGCTGGCCTGGGAACGCCTCGGGATCCGCCAGGAAGAGCTCGAAGAAGTGGCTGGGAGAGGGAGGTCTGGGCTTCCCTCCTAGAGCTGCTGCCCCCGCGACCCGACCCCGAATAAGCGGTGGAAAATGGATAGATGGATGGATTGATGGATTTCTCTTGTCCTTTTGAGACAAGCATTTTATGTTTGCGTTTTCTCCCTTGTCTATTGCAAGCGCTTTTTGTTTATTTCATTTACTCCTAGGTCATTGTTACCAGTGCCATTGTTTGTACTTTGTTGGTCTTACTTTGTACTTTAGTAAATTTTGGTCAAACGATCTATCTTGGTCTACGTTTGTGGGATCCACTATGATTACGGACTTCCGGAAATCGTATCAAATGAATTGTGACCATTTTAAACATACTTCACATTTCAGGTAAACTAAATTATATTTCGGTGCCAAAACAAACAAAAACATCTTCAATTGGACTCACCTGCAGGAAAACTTTCAGGCGATCCAAAGGAGCAGTTCCTGTCCTGGACACAGCACCTGCCATTGCTCCTGCAACCAACTGCCTCCAAACCAGACCGGATCGCCGTTCCTTCTCTGAGAACTCATCTGGCACCGTCAAATGTTCCCCAATGTCAAACATCTTCCAATAGTTTTGAGATTAATGAATTTCATAATTAATTTTGGGTGCAGAACACTGTGCTAAATTTGCATCACTGCTATGTAATCATGCTACAGTATGTACTCAATCGGCGTCAAGGCTTGATTGGTAGAGGCTGAGGGAAGAAGTATTTCACAAAGGTACTCCGTGAAAAAATGTCTGATTGGATGTCTATTAGTTAGTACACAAGTGATTTCTTCTTTGGGAAATTCCAATGTTTGTGAGATGGCTCTGATTGATTTTCCCCATCTTCTCTCAGCCTCACAATTGCTCACTCTGGTTTTACTGTTGGTTACACCTCTAACAAGTAGAAATGTAGTCTTCAAGGGCAAAACCCAAATCTGAAACTGATTGTTTGCATTGTCGCTGTAATTGAACACACCTGGGCAACAAAAATGCCTGCCCCTTCCAGCACTTTTGCTTGCATGAAAAATGTGTGAATTCAAACAAATGTTGTCTTGTAAGTTGTGCGGCAAATCCAGATGTAAATATCTGGAAACAAAGCTGAAATGCTTCTCTTGTCTCAAACGCATCTTACCATATCAGACTCAAATTTTTGTAGTCTGCAGCTAAATAAATTAGTATTAGTATTGCAATAATTAGGAAGAGTGTGTATCTGACGTATATACGATGAAAAAAAAGTCTATTTCCCTAACTTCACACCCATGAAGGATAAATGTGTGGTATTTTCAAGACATCAAAGCAATTTTTTCTTAAAAACAGTGATTGGTCAGAGAAAAGTTTACAGACTACAACTTCTGTGATCTACACTTGCCTGATGGTCACGTTCCCTCTACGAGAATTCCACCATAACTAATGAGGCCAAAATGTAAGATGATATGCTACATTTGGGCCAGCATCTACCGTTACATCTTTATTACAGCATGCTCTTTGTTACAGCCGTACAAATTGACAGGATGACCGCCTCAGTTTGTCGACGCCCTATATACTGTATGTGTTTAACTCAGGACAATAAAACAACAGAACAGCTTTACAAACAAAGTCTACGCAACATATTTAAGTTATTTCTTCCAAGCCTTTGATACAAGGAGTCAAAACCAAAACACCCACCACATCAGGCTGCCCTGACAAAAATATATTGAAAGAGCTCTGAATCAATGCAGCATGCTACTAAACAACAACCATTCCAACAAATTAGAGGTGAGACAGCATTCCAGAAGGGTTCCGCAAGCATAGCGACTCAGACATAAAGTACAGTCATGAAGCACTCAGACGATTTTCAAAATAAAGATTTCAATAGAATCTCAGAAATGTGATTACTCACATGGGAGTGCTTCCAGTAGTGGACAATCTCTTCCATGTTGTGGAAAGGATTGAACATGAAGTGATCTCGCCATTCTTTCCAGTCAATGGTCATGGTACCATCCCTGTCCATACTGGAAAATGGACAAACTTGTTGTGGGTGGACATTAAACAATCATTACTTTTCAGGTAATATTGTGTATTACACAATTTGTCATGCTTTATGCACCGTTCGAATCCATTGTGTCTGTCCTCAGCGTTTCACTGCGTGGCCCCTCCCTCTGTTCTGTTCTGGTCACCTTTCCCTTAATTCAGTGTGGGCTGGGCGTCTCCACAATCAATGCACCTGCCTCACCGACACACCTGCCAGTCTTCACCTCGTCAGCCACACTCTACAGCACAAAGGCCAGTCTAAAGAGCCACTCGCTGCCAGTTCGTCAGCTATCTTCCCCGCTGTATTCTCTGCTACATTGTTGTTGCCCTCAGCCTTCCTTACACCTTGGTTTAGTTTCCCTGACTGTCTTTGGGTCCTGCCTCCTTGCTCTGTCCCTCTTTATGACAAAAAAGCAGGACTAAGTTCATTGTGTCTGTCTTTGGGTCCTGTGCTTGTCTTAAGCTAAGCATAACTTGTACCGTTACTTGTGACAATTGTTAGGTACTTTAAAATCTACAATCAAGTGGCTGTCAAAATAATGAACACGGTTGCTACAAGTGATTATATCCGTGTTTGCAAGCAGCAACACAGAACCTGCTAGGACGGATCATGTTGCAAGGACTACTTCATTCAGCTGTGGGAATTGAAGCTCCTTATGTTCACTTATCAAGTTGACGTAGAACTAATAATATTCCAGTAATTTAAAAAACGGCTACTTGCCACGAGAATAGATCTGCCTCGTACCAAAAGTGGTCACAGTACAGGAATTAAAATTCAGTTGTATTACACTGTACTGCTTTCTCAAAATGTTATGTGTACATAATATGACAGGTTTGTTTCCAATACAGTACTGTAAATAAAATCAATTCATCGAGCCATAATCCGAACCCAATCCGAACCACTTATCCTCATGTAAAATAATAATTATAAAAGTACAGTTGGTGCCACTAGAAAAGATATAAATGAACCATATGATCTTTGTTTAATCTTCTGTTCTACCTCTGCAGTATTCTCGAGGCCTGCTCCTTGGTGACCTCAACTCCAAGCTTGTGCATCAAGTGCTGGATCTCTCCCACATCAATTTTACCTTAAAAAAACACAACAACCAAACACAACTTATCTTTGTAAAATGTGTTTCATCTTTGCAATATTTTAAGGTACAATTTAAAGTTTTTGTCAATATTTGACTTCTCCGATGAATGGAATTTGCATTGCTTCTTTTTCTCCTTTACATTGCAATTGATCAGTAAAATAAAATACAATATTGCCTGTGTAATATACTGTACCAATCATGAAGTTGTGAAGCATAGTGAGGGTGAGCCACCAAGTACCGGTACTGTTTACTAACAGCAAGTTAATTTTAGCAAGTGCTTTATTTAGATAGCTGGAAAAGGAAGGCATGAATGTGTGTGTATGGGCTTGTGTTTCATAGGTCAATACCGTCATTGTTCCGATCAAGTTTATGGAACATGAGCCATAGCCTCTTCTCATGAGCCTGCATGTACTGAGAGAACTCTTGGAAGTCCAGCAAGCCATCTTGATTGATGTCACTCTCCAGGACTATCTGTGGGTGCAGATTTGAAGCTGTCAGGAATTGAGGTCATTGAAAAGATGAGGGGATGCATTTTCCTGTTTTCTGCTTGTTTAATGTGTATACAGGGTATACAGACAGCAAAGAAGTGACAGTGGTCACATGGTGAAGAGTGCAACAGATAAACAGGTGAAGTGAGGAGGAGAGTGGAAGACACTGTCCTTCCATAAGAGTCCATCTTACCTCCTGGGAAACTTAATTTCTCCTCTTGAACAGCAAATGGAGAAAGAGCCAAATGAAAGATAGAATGTAAAAATTTGCTGTTACTTGAATGTCTTGTTTTTCCCGCAGATGTTAACTTTGTTTTGTGCATCGAGACACTCAAATTAGTGACATCACAAACGTGACGGAATAAAGAAATACATTGACTAATAATGACTCGAACAACAAAATGTAAAGGAAGTTTAATCCTTTATCTATCATGTAGATTCTACATAGTTGTGTGTAACATAACATGGCTGTTTTGTTATATCCATTTAAAACAATGGTCCAACAAGAAAAACACCAAGACAAAAAGAAGAACTAACAACTTCCAAGAAACAGAAATCTGCATTTAATAGACAATATCAATAGGACTACGAATGCACAATATGGGTTTATCGATAAAGGTGATTCTCGTGCAGTAAGCCAACTTGGTGTAATATGTGGCGACAGGTTCGTGAATGAGGTTAGGCTTTAAAACCGTGTTTCCATTACATTCTGTCTTTGGAAAACAGGACAATGAGGACAACCGAAACAAAATACTGAATAGGTTGAACAAAAGTAACACACTTCCTCTCCCATAACAACAAGATGGCACAAGCTCCCTCTAGTGAAATAAGCTGATGTGTTTCTCCTGGATTTGAGGTCACACATTTTAACAAAGAACAGCAGCAAATACTTAGCATGAAAGTGGATGCAAACTCAACTCAACTATATTGAAAGAGTACTTTAGAACAACCACAGCAAAACATGGAGGAAAAATAATTCATACAAGCAACAAACATTAAACAATTAATTAATAATGAAGACAGTAGAAAGCACAAAAACAACAAAACTAAAAATCAAGTCAAAAGTCCAAGAATAAAAATGAGTTTTAAGATCAGTTTTAAAAATGGGCAGCGAGGGGGCTTGCCCAAAATTCAGCGGGAAGTCATCTCAAAGAGAGGGACCAGCAACGGAAAAGGCTCGATCCCCTCTGAGCCTCCGCTCAGTTCTCGGTACCTTTGATACCCCATTTCCAGCCCCCCCAAAAAATTGGTACTTGATCTGTGCCAGGGCCAGTGCTATGCTTACTTTGTGCTGAACAACTACTTACAAAAAATGTGTTTGGTTTTTCCACCGGCAAAGGGCCAAATAAGAGCTACGTCATTATGCCATTGTAAAGCATCCAAATGCCACTGCTTACGTCGACATTTACCCAAGAGCGCTTGCGATAATACTACTACTACTACTACTACTACTACTAATAATAATAATAATAACATAATAGGGCGGCCTGGTGGTCCAATGGTTAGCGCGTCGACCTCACAGTGCAGAGGTACCGGGTTCAATCCCAGCTCCGGCCTCGCTATGCGGAATTTGCATATTCTCCCCGGGCCTGCGTGGGTTTTCTCCAGGTACTCCGGTTTCCTCCCACATTCCAAAAACATGCATGGCAGGCTGATTGAACACTCCAAATTGTCCCTACGTGTGAGTGTGAGAACAGATGGTTGTTCGTCTCAGTGTGCCCCGCGACTGGCTGGCAACCGGTTCAGGGTGTCCCCCGCCTACTGCCCGAAGACAGCTGGGATTGGCTCCAACAACCCCACCCCCCACCCCGACCCTTGTCAGGATAAAGCGGATTGGAAAATAAATGAATGAATAATAATAATAATAATAATAATAATGCACTGCAAGCATCTGCTAGTCAATTTGGTATAGCCTCAATTATACTGGTGTGCAGTACAGAACCGTCAGGGACATGCAATCAGCAAACACGTATATTTTTCTTAATCATTGTAGATGATCACGAGGCTGGCTGTGAGTCAGAGTTTGCATGCTATCTGGGCATATCCGCCATCGCTCTTCTGGTGGGACATATTTGTGCCGGAGTTCACCGCTCTGAAGTTTGTGCAAAATATCCGTGAGTTATTCCTCTACACCTGCGATGGTGATGATAACTCCACTCCCTGGCTCCTGACGTAGTTGGTGCCAGAGTCTGGCCCAATAAATAATTGAAGTCATTTTCAGCACCAGTTTAGAGTACCAGAACTAGATATAGAGCCAATTTCGGTGGTGGAAAAAGAAAGAACTGGTGCTCACCTGGGCACTGGCCCACAACTCACACGAGCACAACCGCGGTGGAAAAGGGCCATAATAGTGTCTGGTTTGGAGACCTGAGGAGCTCAGAGAGGTAAGGTAGGGAACGCTAAAATGTACAGGGAGACAGTAAAGGGATACCAGATTAGGAGTTATGTGCTCCTAGTTACGAGTACCAGTCAAGAGGCAAGCAGCAGTATTTTGGACCAACTGAAGACGCTTAATGGAGGATTGGCTGACTCCAAAGTAAAGTGCATTCCAGTAATCCAGTCAAGATGTGACGAAGGCACCTGCATATATGCACAATGTTTGATGCCTTGTTTTGATTAGATGCTCCATAGCAGCACATCTCTCCCAAAGTGAGTGTCCATCATGATTTGATTGTGTTTCCACTTGTGGAGGCACCACTTCATCATCAAGCCACCAAATTACTCTTTGTCAATATGTATACGGAGGTTGCGATTGGCAATACCCTGTTTTGGGCGGTGATGGTGCTCAATTTTAGTATGACAAGAAGCACATTTGGCTGCCTGCTGAGGTCAGGGTTCTTATGTTTGTGCAAGTGAAAAGGAGAAGCACTTATAATAAATAATGAAAAATGATATTTCTGAAACTAATTGCCTCATTGCCTTCCTTATGAAAGTTCACATTCACAGCAATGCAATCTAATATAACAATAGATACAACAAATCTACACTACAGGTGTCCCAATCCGATGATGATTGGAAATCAACTCCAGGGCAACTCCAGTGTGTAAGAAGTCCACATCTTCTCAGGAGGTCTGCTACCAGAGCCCAAGCTGTTTTGTTTTGGTAAACCAGACTGTATTGCATTGAAGCTTCAACCTTGCACACCAGCTCAGGCTCCTTCCCTGCCAGAGAGGTGACATTCCACGTCCCTAGAGCCTTAAGTAGTATGGGATCGGACCGCCAACATCCCCTCCTTGAACCGCCACGCAGCTCGCTAATGTACCTGATCCCCTTGGCCCCTCCTTTAAATGGTAAGCCAATGAGGAGTGGCACCCACATCAACTCTGCCGGTGGAGGTCATCAGTTGAATGCCATTGGCTTCAGATAGAGACTTGGAATCCAGTGTCCATTTTTGGTCATCTCAATAATGGTTCTGAGCTGTGCTGTGCGTGACCATAAAAACCTGGTAACTTCCCTCTTAGGATCATTGAGACACACAAAACAGTTAAGGCAACATCTCAGGCAGGAGTGTCTTGTTCATCAGGTAGAAATTGCAAACAAAGCAAAACATATCACCAAAATACACGTGACGTTGCTCAGTTCTCTTATCACAAATTTCTAAAAGGAAGAACACGTTATAGCAAACTTAGATTCTGATTTCATGTACAACTAACACTACAGTATATTGATTTGTCATATAACTGTGGCTGGTGTTGTGTGTTGTAGCTATTTTTTTTTTGTATTACCAACAAAATCATTAATTGAACGCATGACAATTGTTTTGGAAAATGAGAGACAATTATGTTTTCAGTGTTTTTATATGACATAATTTTCAATGCGTTGACGTTTGTATACTACAGTATGTTTCTTCCAGATGTTCCCCTCTGCACTTTCATAGAGATTGGGATAGTTGATATTTCTTCCCCTGTATCGATTAATTTTTGCACAACCATTATCCAGTGTTGTTATTATTGATGAATTCTATAACATATACTCTGGTTTAATCGACAGCAACGTCTTCAGTTAAGAGATAGTGGTTCAGTCAGGGGTTCAAATTGAAATGATTGGGTTGATTATGAACCGAATGGGCTGTACCTTAAGTCTATTCAAATATCAGTATTTGATAACACCTTTTGGTGTTGCGTAATAACTGCTGAGTTTGCATACAAATTAATTACTGTACGGTGTGCACCTTTGAATACGAATACGAGAGCCTGTTCCAGTTGACGTGTTCTCACCTCTTCAGCCTCTCCTTGGTGTAAACCTCGAGCAGCCAGTCCAATTCGCAATTCGCTAATGTCAACCCTGCCATCTCTATTCAGGTCCAGTTGCTCGAACAGATCCGCATATCTCCTTTGGCGTTCTTGCTCCGCAGACGTGCCGTGTTCTGACTTCACTTCGATTGTTCCGCGTTGAGGTCGGTCGAACAGATCCTTGTCTTCTTCGCCCATGAAGCTGAGAACGCGAACGGTTTCCCTGTCTGGTCTGAAAAGAATATGTCGCCTTATATAACACTTTAGCACGCTGTGTATCCACGGAGACCGCAGCAGTACTTGACCACAAATGGGAACAAACGGACGAGGTACGCGTGGGGTGCGCGTTGCTCGTGCGCAGGGGATTAGTCATGGAAGTGTGGATGCGGCGTTTCTTTTGTTGCTGGAGTGATCACCGAACCTCAGTTGATCAAAAAGATGTTTAGTGTATGCCAAGAAACTGCGCACGCTTGATTAATAACATAAATAAGAGTTCGTCTGCTTTTCCTTTGGTCCTATGAAAAACAAAACAAAAAAATCATCTAAAATATTCTTTCTGACATTTAAAAAGAGTATCATAATATGTGTTTTGTTATTTAGTTAGTACATCCCAGCGTGTAAAACAAGTGAACCAATGATGGCTTACTTGCTAATAATAACTGTAGTAGAGAGGATTGTACACTGTGACGCAAGTGATAATTTAAAGTGCACAGTCAGCATTCACAGGCTGTTACAGAGAGATTTAACAGTCTGTAGTGCGCACAGATTTATTGTATTTATTTTAAATGTACTCAGCCAGGTATGTGTGTGGATTTATAGTTGCATACTATAGTCTATTTTCCAATTTCATTATCCTATATGACAGGTGTCAAACTCAAGGCACGGGGGCCAGATCTGGCCCGCCACATCATTTTATGTGACACACCAAAAGAAATTATGTGCATTCACTTCATGTTTCTTGCTGAAATACCATTGCAAATTGTCTTCACTTTTAAAAATTGTGAGATATTGCAAGCACACACACACACACACACACACACACACACACACACACACACACTACTGTTATGATCCATATTTTCAATGTTTGTTCGTTCAAAATCTGCATTTTACACATGCAATGCTACCTAGAATAACAATAAAAACAAAACATGAATAGCTAGGCTGTCATCCTCGACAGCTCACTATACTTCCACTCTCACATCAAAAACATAACCCGGTCTGTATATTTCCACCTACATAACATCAATCGTCTCCGCCCCTCTCCCACCCCTCACACTGCCTCTATCCTGTCCCATATTCACGTCACCTCCCGCATTGATGATTGTAACTCACTCCTTTTCGGTGCCCATCACAAACTCCTCCATAAGCGTCAAATGGTCCAGAATTTTGCAGCCCGGATCATCACCGTAACCACCTCCTTTCACCACATCACCTGCATCCTCCAACAGCTACACTGGCTCCCTGTCAAACTCAGAATAAACTTCAAAATCTTTCCGTATGCATTTAAGGCCATTCATAACCTTGCTCCCCCCCACCCTCCCGCACCTGTCTGATCTTTTCTGACTTTCCTTATCGCTGCCTCAGGTCCTCCTACTCCCTTCACCTATCTATAGGGGTGTTCACACGGCAGCTTTTACTCCGGTGTAGCACCGAGGCTGCCCTCGTAGAGCGTTCACACGGACACATTTATACCGGTGTGACCCCTGAAAACAGCTCAAACCGGAGCAAATTTAACCCTGCTCCAGGAGGTGGTTTAAAAATTTACTCCGGAGTAAATGCTAGTTTGTGAGGCAGCACTGATATGGGACGTGTGAACGCTACATGGGTAGACTCTCTAGCGTAAGAAGAGTTGATTACATACAGGTAGAATGTGTTGCTTTGTACTCTGTTGTACTTCCGTCATCTTTCCTTTTGTATGTGACTGGACTGTTTGTGTAGTTTGTTCCTTTGTTGTGTGTTCACAACCCCCGCCCCCAACCCCCATAGAATTCCCCATAGAATTTATTTTGCGATTTCCTCTCTTGATTTTCAGTTTGGCGCATTATTTTACTTTTCTGAGTGTCATTGAAGTCATCGTTGGTTTATGTTTTGGGGGGCAGTCGTTGAACGCCTCTGGAGCAGAAGACAGGGGACCGAGAAGGAGAAGGATGTAACTGTAGTTACTTGAGTTAAACAAATTAATAAAGTGTATGTTTTAAAAAGAACCAACACGACAGCTCTCTTTGTTTCGGAGCTGTAACACTCTCTCTCTCTCATCCTTTTACGGTGTCTGATAGACCACAGCGTTGATTTGTCTGGAGAAGTATAGACCATGGTTTTTCGATATGTCACAAACAAGGCAAGGAAAAGGAAGTACACTTTAATAAGCATGTGCATGTTTTATTTTCGTATTATTACTATGGTATTGCGCGGCCCAGAAACTGCCATGTGAACGCTGCGCCAGGGTTAACACGCTTCTCTTTAGTAAGCAGCTTTTTACGTGTGAACGCTCCACAAAATTTACACCGGTGTCAGATACATGTATATCGCAATAAAATACGTCGGTGCAGCACCGATGCAAATGTGTACAGTTTTAGTGTTGTTGTCGGTTGAAAAGTGTCCGTGAGTGTTTCGAAATGTGTTTAAAGATAACATGTATTGTTATTATTATTATTAGAAATATTCTTATTATTGTTATTGTTATTATACTCTTGTGGGGCAAGCGCAAGTTTGTTGTACGTTTGATTGATCTGACAATGCTGTATGTCGGGGTGAACCGACACCTTCTCGCGATCCGTAGTATGTCACGTCACAATATTCCATCCGGATCGGAAGAGCTACCCACTCATTAGCACTGCTCCTGGATTTCTCTGCGCACAATAGTCATATAGTTTAGTCAGAAAAGGCAAACAAGCTAAAAATGCCTCTGCCTGTACAGGTTTTTAACTTTCAGGTAAGTGTGTCGATGTTTTCATGGAAATACACGCAATCGGCTAACTGCACGAAGCCTACAGAGTAACGTATTAGCTAGCTATGCTAAGCAATAGAACTTGACCAACAAACTGAAAATTCACTGACTAAAGTCATTCTAGCAACAATTTAGTCAAATTGCACAACTTTACGTTTTTGTTTCGAAATAAATGCAAGAGTGCCTGTCGCCCTTTCCACGAAGGACTACGAATAAGGGACCTCATTGTTGATTAAGGGCTCAATTCGCTTGACTTAACCAAACAAAAATGCTCCTCACATACGACAACTACTTAAAAATAGAATAAAAATAAGCTTACCATCTAATTTCAAACAAACTGTTTTTAAATTACGTTTGAAACAGTTAGCTTAAACAAGGCCTACGATGGCTAACAACATTGACGGACAATGTAGCATTTTAGGTTTGAATAACACGCAAAAAACGGCAAACAGTGCAAGCAGCTGACTCGTACACATGTACTGATATTTCAACGTAATGGGTGTCTCAGACAACATTTTGCATTGACGGAGGAAGAACTTCTTTACATGTGTGGATTGTAGCTAACGATAGCCAGCATTGACATGTTAACTTCCTGCTGGTAGCAGATTAACTGACACTCTTGCTTTGGCAAGTGTGTTCCTAATGAATTGTATCATTTACCTATTTTATCAACATCCTAATGATACAAATCCATACTTATTGAAATTTCAAACCTTCAGGCATTTGGGGACAACATGTCTTGCTTTTGTACTATTCTAGTGCACAATTTACAGGAAATCCTTTTTTTTCAAGTCCATTGTCTCAGCTCCACTGTGTTTTCTTAATATTCACTGGACAGCCCTGCCTGTAACAAATTTGGGGAAATAAAAATCTGTTAGCTTGGATGATTTATCTCATGGTCGGATGAGCATTGTAAAAGTCCCACAAGAGAAAAGCATGTTAGAAATGTAGGTAGCTCGACAACCGGTGAAGTGACTAGATAATTCATCTTTCATTTTCACTTAAATTGTTGCATTAAATAATTTTGTTGTTTTGCTTTTTGTATTATTGTACCAAAGTACACAATCTGACAGTAATGTAGACACAATATGAGTGATTATTAAAAAAACAAAACAAAACAGTAAAACAGGTCATTGCTAAAGTGTTCTTGGTCATTCTTTATAGGGGGCTGTGGAACCGATGCAGATTGATGCAGATCCCCAAGAAGACCAGCAGAATGCTCCAGACACCAACTACATTGTGGAGAACCCAACACTGGTACTTATCAAAATACTGTATTTTCATTATCAACCACAAGTGAATTGCCTTCCCACAATTAATGTTTTAAAGGACTGGTTGGTGAAATAGTACACATTTGCATGCACAGTAAACATCCTTAAATTTCAAGTGATGAAAAGTCAATGTCATGTCATTGCATGACTACCCTCGCTCAATCGTGTAGATGAGTGTCCAAAAGTACAACATAACACAACATAACACAACAAATTATTCAATGAAAATAACTGAATTTCATCACCTCAATTTGAACAGTTAATTCAGTGTCATTGGTTATTTTTTAAACAATGTGAAACATTAAAATAAATATTTTGCCTTGACAATAAGTAATACAAAATGAAATTCAAAGGATAATGAACCTGCATGTAAATCATTTACCACAAAAAAATGGATTACTTTGAATAAGCACCAGTAAACAAGCATTTAAACTTTAAATATCAGAAACAAAACACTTAATAAGAAGAATATTCCAACCTATCATAGCAGTTTTACTTTCTTTTCATGAGTCATCTGAGCTTAAATGAGACACTTGAGCTGACATGCAGCTGTTGTGATTTTGGCGTGGCTGTACAACTGGTGAATATGTCACCAGGGAAACTAATTGTAGCCTCCAAAAAAAATAGATTATTGACATGCTTATGTAATGACTGAGAATCTTTACTTCTTGAAAATACATTATAAGTGATTCCATGTGCTCGTGTACCCTTAGGGGTATTTGTACCCCTGGTTCTGAAATACTGACTTAGGGTGTTAATTGGAGTAACTCTGTCTAATATGTCATTCATGTTTGAGCTCCCTTGTTTTCTGTTTAGGACCTAGAACAATATGCGACCAGTTACAGTGGACTAATGCGTATTGAGAGACTCCAGTTCATCGCAGAGCATTGCCCACAGCTCAGAGTGGAAGCCTTGAAAATGGCGCTGACCTTTGTCCAAAGAACCTTCAACGTTGACACTTATGAAGAGGTCCACCGCAAACTAACGGATGCCACACGGTATTATAGTGCTCTTCATAAAACATCACAATTATTTTTTTTTCCAGGTCTGGAATGATTGTTCTGTTGTTTAGAGGTGTCAATTTATTGCGTTAATTGCAAATAATGCAGTTATGTTTTTTAATCGCGTTAATCTAAATTTTAATCTCTAACTTTATTGTTTCTGTAGGTGGGTTGCCTTTTTATAATATCCCTTTTCATGTGTTGCTTCCTGTGTTGCAGTAGTTGAGGGTGGGGAAACAACTGTCAGTCA